CCTTCTCATATAAGTTCCCACAATGGCATATGTATATATGCCCATATATAAAGGGTGTTATACAGGCTCAATGTTAGTCTAATGCTCAAAGAAAGATACCATATAGTAAATATTAATCCCACAGTGAATGCAAATTTTCATATCATTACAATTGTTTGATCATGTGATCACAGCATGGATACAATACAGGTGTTACATGAAAAGAAAAAGCATTGTGATGAGTCCATGAGTTTGTACATAATCAGTAGCACATAATGAGTCCATCAGTTTCCACCAAAAGTGAGAGACAAATGTCAAGTCAACCTACTCTTCCTCAGCTGCACCCTCATCTTCATCTCAATCCCCCATTTCCTCTTCTCCCAGGTCAGCATAGAGTCCATCACCATCCCACTGATCTTGAGCCATCTCTGATTCATCCACCTGAGGTTCGATACGATGAAGCTTTGCAGGACAACTGCTCTGTACCTGGGGTTGTGCACCTATGCTGCATTTCATGGGCTTTGTCTGCATCTGTGTTTGCTTTTGCTTCTCATGCTCTAGCTGTTCATGTTCTTATTGTCAATGTTCTTCTTCTTGCTGCCACTGCTGTTCTTCTCTATGTTGTTGATGTTTCTCATCCTGGCATTGACATTTGAGTTCCTCTTCATGCTTACATTCAAGTCAGGCTTGCTTCAGGCATGCAATATCACTACCTGCTTTGGGAGGGGGTGAGAGTTGTTTGCATTTTGATCAGATCGTACCATCTTCACTATAGAAAATTCTAGCAAAAGAAGGTTAGAAAAAGCTGTATTGCAAAAAAGAAATCTTACTTGTTCCAAAATGCTAGCATAGTTTGTGCCCATAGGTTCTTTGGAGGGTCAAAGAGATTGAGAATGTTGTAGTAAAAATCTTGCATCAAAAAAAATGCCATCTTGCATAATCCACTGCAATACTGAGCTCAACACAAAGCGAAGCTGGTGTGCAATATTAGTAATCATCAAGTTCTCAAAATCCATCACTCACTTGACAAGCAGTATGTGCAATAATCTCCGGCATAATGGTGAAGATGTTAAACTTTGAAGCAATTGGTTTTTTTGTCATATGCTTCTCAGCATGTTCAATCCCAGAATCAAAAAGCATGTGCTGGCATGTCTGAAAACTTTTCAACAAAGTGCAAAATATCAATTCATAAACTTACATTAATGAAGAGAGGCCCTCAACAAAGTCCAAGGAGAATCTTGTCATCCTCGCTGACATCAGCTCTATTGTTGGATAAGCCATCAGAAGATTATCTCGAAAGAATGCACTCCAAGCATCCCAATAGTTAAGTTGATCTTCAAAGATGACTAGTTCACCTGTATATCCTGGGCTAATCAGCTCACAACTGTAAATAATAGTCAAAGTGAGTCACTGTATCTTGAGAAAATTAGCTACACATTCACCCTAATTCAACATTCAACAAGCTTGTGATGTGACCCTTTGAAATTGTAAGTTGGACTGACAAGTTGCATGGAACAGAATTGTCTGTTCCATTAGTAAAGACTATCCATCCTCCCATTAGCCAAAGCTGAATCAACACCATGTAAACAGGCAGTATCTGAGCATGCAGCCCAGTCATGGGTGTACAAATTGACTCAACATTACCCAGTGTATTCACTACAGCATACCCAACTGTACCATTGCTCAATGTCTGGAGAACCTGGGACTTGAGACCTGAGTTAGCACCAAGGAGAGTGACTTGGATGATATTGGAGCGACAGAAGAATGTTGTCTTGAAGCTGACTATTTTGCCACTGGGTGGGAGAGCTTTGAGGTTTGCACTTGCATTTAGTGTAACAGAGTCTGGGAAGAGGACACTGAAGGCCTTGTCTAGGAGGGCTTCACCATCCTTGCAAACCTCCTCATAGAGTTTCTCAGAATCTTCATAGACCATACCACTAGATATGGTGTATGAGCATCAGACTATAAAAATGTTTGAAGATTCATACATGGCAGATCCAGGAAGGACTAGAAGAGGTCAAGTTGGGTGAGCAAGCAATTGTTAGTCTAAACTCAGTGATAATCCACCATTGTGGACTAACAAAGTGGCATAGATTAGTCCTTGCTTGACAAAGAATCATTATGTTAGTACATACACTGATTCAGTAGAACCTTCTCCCATGAATCATCAATTGCTTGCTTGGGATAGATATAGTCCTTGTTGTAGAGTCTATACAGTGAGGCAAGCATAGTGACATGCTAATAGAACAACAATACATTTATCAGCTCAACAAGCATAGATTACAATGTTGTTGCATACCTTGACGTCATGAAGCAAGATCTCAGAGTGCCTATTGCCCTTCTTGATAGACCCTACAGTACATCATCAGCTCAAATCATCCACCAACTAAAAGACCTCCAATGAACCATGCGAGGTATATATACCACGATGGGACTAAACTGCAATCAGTCCTAGTTCAAAACTAACAAGGTATGCAGGAGACACAACCTCAAGATACAATTCTCCATGCCTAATAGTGGATCCAAATTCAACCTCCCTCAATCAAAGACAAGATGCTATGACATGCTCACTAATTCAGGAGTATCTTTCCAGCATTTGACGCTCTTATGAGTTCATCAAAGAACTCATCCACAGACCACCCCATACTAACCGACAGCAGCTCACAATGGGTATTGGACACTGCGTGGATCTGCCAGAGCTGGAGATGAGATAGAATAGATTGTTTGTTCATTAAGTGCTATGTAAATCAAGTTGAAAACCAGAAACATATGTTCTCCAACATCTTTGCCAGTGGGCCTCCTCTGCCATCCCTATTTTCAAAGACAAGGAGTGTGGCTTGGGAGGACTCCGTATGTGAGTGGACAGCCACATCTGTGTAGGTGTGATGCTAGAAAAGAGACCTTGTGGTTGTTCTGCCCTTTGTTAGTGTCTCCAACTGTCACTTGAGTGGTGTATGTATCAACTGCATTGAAGATGAGTATGGACAAAGCCTGAGATGAAATGCTAAGCACTGTGTACCAGGTGTCATGTGGCATAAAACTTGTGTTCTGTTGATACCAACCTAGTTGAAGGTCATATGGAGAAAAACATTGCTGAGGCCCAGTTAGCATATACCCTCCACCAAAGTGAGAGAACACTTCACATGTTATTCCTAGATGCAACCTTGCATCAGAATCCACCAAATAAGAACCCCCTCCTCTAGAAAAAACCAAGTCCTACCAAGACAACTTCTGCATAAAAAAATACCTCATGCCTATTCATACAAATGCACAATCAATCATGATCTACTCTTTTCTTCTAAAAAGAAAGAAGAGCAAGCCACCCATGCCTCAGTGACCCCAAACATATTCAGCAACCATGCTGTCTTGCAGTGCTTTCCAAACCTCAACTTGAAATACCTCTGCCCAAACACAAATTGTCTTATGAGCACCTCACCCAAGGGCGCATTCACGTCGTTCTTGACCCATGTGCTGCTGATGGGGTGGAAGCAGCCCACAAGAACCTAGGTTTTGACTCTTGAAAAGAGAGGGGAGTATAACTGTGCAATAAGAAGGGAGGGAGTTAGTGGTTCAGTGAGGTGTTTTTTGATAGGGCAGACAGGATGTAACTTGTTCAAGCCATTTGTATTGCTGTGCTGAGCTGCATATGAACCAGTGCTTGGAGTATCGTTCTATGAGATCAACCTGCATGGACCATGACCACACAACCTTTTGCTACATGACACGGTATGGTCAGAGCCTAGATCCTGAGCTTCAGCCACTGACTATTACAAAATCCAAAAAAAAAAAACAAGCTCTGAATGTGAAACACATATCAGGCCTCCTGGTTTGGAATGACAAGGTCAGCCAAGCGCAGTGCAAAGTACCTGTTCATCTGCAGCACATCATTACATCACATTACATTCAATTCAGATACCCCAAGGGTGGTAGGGCATATATCCAGTGGATCAATTGTGTCTCTGCTTAGGGAGACTCCAAACATTCCATTGCAGCTTGACTTGATGATAAAGTTGTGTTGGTGTTCAGTGCATGTGCTGGAGGGGATGATGTATTCAATGTACTGGTTGCCACTGTAGCTGCTGGTTATGCCTGGGCAAAATAATCAAAAGGATGTATGTATTAATGATTTTTGAAATTGAATTTTGGGGAGTGATGGAGAAACAGACCTTGAAGCGGTGTTCTGTCTATGCTGTAGATCATTGCTTTGCAGCCTGGGTCAAATTCAGCTGAAATTAGGATGTTAGTGTGTTGGTGATAAGTAGGAGTGGGGGGGGGAGCTTACATTGGACATGCTTGTATTGGTCCCAGTATGCTGGGATAGTGAGTGAGACTTTCCACCAGTGGTTTGTCTAGACAGTACATGGTTATTATTATTGAATGATCAAGTCTCTTATGTGTCCTATGCTCAGTGCTCACTCCTGTACAATTAAATATGAGATACAAGTACATGAACAGTCTGGGCATTCAACTTACAAGATGGTCTGAATGAGTTGCCCTATGTATCAGTTATCATAATAAGACCTCAAACATTACAGTGAACAACAAACCTTCTTTGCAGGCTTAAACTTCTGCTTCATAGCCTCCTCAAACGTTGACTTCAACTTCTCAGGCACACTCCATCTACATACAATTACCATCAATCACTTCTTCAAAGACAGTCATGTTTAAATGGTCATACAAACATTTGAAGCTTGACACACTCTAGACTGTCGATCCTGTGCATGAAGAGCGCAGAGAAGAGGTTGATGTCAGAGTAACACCTGCCATGGAAGTTCCTGATGTGGTCCTTAGTGAGGCTCTTGATCCATTTGGAGCTGTGGGTGTAGTTGAGTGAGGGGTAGGAGGGAGATGGAGGTTGGTGGTGGTGGTTGTGGCTCATTGTATTAGAGAAGGGAGCTTGAATGGACAATGATGATGATCGCAGTTGTTACATGTGTGATTACCCCACACTAGATCAGGCAGAATCTACAGCTGCATCCTAGTGGTACCTCTCACTATGTAGTTATCTATTATAATTGTATAGTGAGATGGTCAAGCGGTCTAAGGTGCCAGATCTAGACTAAGGATCTGGTCTTGTCAGGGGTGGGAGTTCAAATCCCCTTCTCATCATGTAGAGTTGTTGTGCTTGTTTTTTCTTTTTATAAAAGTACTGATTACTCTTGAAGGAATTATTTTGACAGAGTTGATTTTCCCCTTCATCCCAATGTGTTTTCATGCCCTGGAGATGTTTATCCACAAAACCATCAAAGTGGTTTGTTTTATCTCCACCTTCTTTTCTTTTTAATAAACCATGAAGCTAATTTGAAAGAGCTTCAGTAGCTCTGAGAACAGTGGGAGCTTTGTGAACCTTTCCATCATGTGTCATGTCATCATATTTATAATAGTGAGGTGGTACTATCACATGTTATGGGTTGGGAGTTTCAAAATGTAGTTTTTGAAGAGATCAAAAACATAAGAAATCCGATCTTTTTGAGAATATCTTATATGTATACTATGTAATGACAGATCACAATGAAAAATGATGAAAATCCATGAGTTCTTGTCCTGTTATATGAACAACATTTGGGGTACAGATCTCAAAATCCAATTCAAACTCCCCAGATTTAAGTATTGCTGAAGATATCTGCACTAAAATTTCTGATCTTTGTTCGTGATCTAATGCATAAATTTGAACTTGGTGTTTGAAGGACTGTATTTGAACACTTGATCTAAATGTTGCACACATATGGACCAGAGTCTATTGCAGAATTGGATAATAGGTTAGTCCTTATGCAGACAAATCAGAATTTATTTTTGAGACATAGAACAGATATCAACAAATTCTACCATTTGGACACTTAACTATTTGTAAATTTTGCAATGATGTATCAGCAATGCAGAGTTTTGCAGCAAGAGACTTTGAAGATCTCCTGCAGGTCTGATTTTTTGGCTATATTATGAGCTTACTATGGAGCTGATTTTATTTTTTCAACAGAATGCAGGTCCATGCTTTAAAGAACTCTTTTAAAAGACAAGCCCATCAATTGACAGAAAAGTTCAGGATCTATTGTTTGTTATGGCTGCTTGGCATGCATCTGCAAAAATGTGCTTACATACTGACTGGTCACTCAACATATTTTGTGGACTGACAAATAGTTTCACTCATCACCTTCACATGTTTTCAACTCAAGTATGCCCACACTTTGAAACACAAGAAACACCTAAAGAGGCTGGGGCCTCTGCCAGCAGCAGCAGCAAAGAAGACAGGGAAAATGGAGTCATCAAAACCAGTTAAAAAGGGCAAAGCAGCTGAGACCTCACACAAATCAAAGAACTTCATACTGGACATTTCAAAGATTCACTCAATTGTGCACTACCCTGACTCAATACAATGCTTTGGCACTACTGACTCATATTCAACTCAGATTGTAAGTTGTATTATTAACTGTCAAATACTAGTCTAATTGAATAATGTTAGGGTGAACAAGAGCACAAGTGTGTAAAGGCATTTTATGCTCAAACAAATAAAAATCAATTTGAGGCACAAATTGTACAGCAAGAATGGTGTAGAGCATGCTCAAGAGCAATGAAACAGGCTATTCCAGGAGACTATGGAAAATGAAGAGCTTCCACTCACTGATCTAAAAGAACACCATTATATTTCAAAGACAAGGCAGAAACTACTTAATCTCTTGAAATGGATAAAGAATCATGCAAATGATTCAGCAATAAAGGTATGAATTGACAGTCTATCAGTTCAAGCTAAGAATTCATTAAAACAATCAGAACTTTCAATATAAACTGAATGAGCACCTTTTGATTCACCTACTTCCTTCCAACACTGAAATCACCAATGAACATCATGGCAAACTGATTATAAAGGACAGCATGATATATGAACATAAAACTCTCAGAGTCAATTATACCACATATAACAATCAGCATGACCAGAACACTCTTAATCCACAGTGGCAATCTGATGTCATGGTCCTTGCCAGCAATGATGTCCACCCCTTCTGGTATTTGTAATTTGTAAAGATCTTTCATGCAATGGTACAGCTCAATGAAAGTGGACAAGAGTTTCAGCAAATGGAATTCCTATGGGGCTGGTGGTATAGGCTTGATGATAATGCCAAGTCTGGATTTGCTGTCAAGCATTGGTATCAAATTGGGTTTATTAAAGGGGAGGATGCTTTTGGATTTGTTAATCCTGCAGATATTCTTTGTGCAGTTCATCTGATTCCACAATTTGTGGGATCTTGTACAAATGCTCTGCTGGCTTCATCTATGACTCACATGGATGAGGGAAATTTGGACTATGAATGATACTATGTTGAAATGTCAGTAATTTAGACCATTTTTCTTATTTGTTGATCACTCATATAATTTCAGGTTTGTGGACAGAGATACTTTTGTTCAATTCACTGGAGGTGGTATTGGACACTGCACAGCACAAGATGCAACACACCTCTTCCAATAAGATATAGAGGAAGGTTTTTCCATCAGAAACTCATCTACAGACACAGATGATTTGGAGATTGATGATCAGGATCAGAAGAGCACAAGCAACAATAGTTCTGGGGATAGCAGTGGAGATGAAAATCTATATGAGGATGAAATTTCAGGAGAGGATGAAGAAATGAGTGAAGATGGATCAGATGATGAACAAGATGAGGATGAGTTGTTTGATGATTCCTTAGGCTATGCAGAATTGTAGTTTATTACAAGAAATAGCACAGTAAATTTATTATGTTGAGTACACTGTGTTACAATGGAAAAGCAGCAATAATTAAGCAGTAGCAATATAGGTTAAAGCAGAGATGATATAGGCATTTCAAGGTCATGATATTCTGGGGTGAATATTTTTCTAGATGTAAGCAGTAGTCATGATACTTAAAGACTGTATTTCCTATATCATTTAGATTTGAGGATTATATTT